GATGAGTCTGTGGGACTCGCTCACAGATTTTACTTTTCCATTTCCCTGATATGCAGCACACCATGCAATGTGTGTCTGCGCTCCCAGTGTGAATTACTAGGGCTGGGTATTTAGCAGTCCTGCACTTCCACTCCCTCCCCACTCCGACTCCTTTCCTCCCGCAGGTGAGCTGGGGTGGGGGGAGCGCTTGCGTCCCACTGGGTCATGGCTTGTATCTTACCCCCTTCGTGAGATGCCGAGTTCTCGCAGATGTAGATGTAGCCTAGCTGTTGTACTGTATCCTCTGGTCTCTCTGTTAGGCGTAGTTTTATTTGTTGTATTTTCAAAAATATATATGGTTTTGAGAGGATATTTCCGCTGCCCTACTCAAGGCGCCATCTTCTCAAAATCCTGGTAAATGGTTTTGAATGTGTGAGCAAATCAATGAATCTGGGACTCCTCAAAGCCCATGTAGCTCATTTACAAACCAGACAGCTGGTGTGGGCTATTGTGTTGTGCTTCTCTGGCCTCCCCTCCTGAGGCCTGAGTTCCCTCATCTCTATAAAGCCAAGATAAGGGAGACCTACTGTGTGCAACTGTTGTGAGGGTAGAGTTGGCTTGTGGGCACAGCATGTGGCAAGAGGGTGTGTACTGCCCCTTCTGTCACACATGGTTGGTGTACAGTGGCAGCCGCCACCCCTGGTCCAGCTGGTGCCGCTCCATCTCGAGCAGGGGCTGCCAAGCATGCAGCCCCAGGGACAGGGCCGCCTCCCTGCTGACCATGCTGTGCCTGCCCTTACCCATCTTGATTCTCCCTTCTTCTCGCCTTCATGCTACAATTGCACCCCTAGATGCATGACGCCCAGGGCTCCGTGTGCCAGCACATCATTCCCCTGACCTTTACGGGCATCCAAGCCCCTGGTCAAGCAGTGACAGTTCCAGCCAGGCTGGAGGCAAGATTGTTCAAATGGAAGTGCTGCCATAAGATCCACAACACTGACTTCAGAGCTTATAGATCATCCATGTGTATTCCTCAAGATGGAAGTCGGAAGATAGATAACTGTGAAGCATGCAGTCACACTCTACCCTGCTTGAATGTAGAAGGTGTGCATGGAAAATGTCTGAGACAGAATATATATCCCAGTGTGGAAACCTGACTGTGAAACACGGGCCAGGGTTAGCAGCTGCATTTAATAGCATTTAACAGGTGGCTTATTTATGCTCCAAGGTTGGGGTCACTCTGGTTCAGACACCCATGCCCTTGCCTCCCTAGAGAACTGGCGTGTTTCTTGCTATGGGAGATGTTGGATGAGTGAGAGAGAGAGGTTCTTCTAGATGCTCCTGTGGTTTTGCAGTAGTAAGAAAGTCATTTTCTCTGCTGTTAGAGCTGCTCCCTCCGGAGCCTTCCTTAAGCTGCACCTCCCATCTCCCAGGGAAATGAGCATTCATTTCTCTCTCCTCTTCCCTTGCTAGGTGGCTGCTGCACTTCAGGCAGCCTTCAGGGGTCATCTAGTGCGGGCGAAGCTGCTATCAAGCAACGCCCGTGGTTCACAGATTCCCAGCCTTCCCAACCAGGTAACTCTTGGGCTGGAGACAGCCGGGGGCTGACAGCGCCCGCTCTGCTCCTTCTCCTCATGCTCCATCTGCAGGGGAGGCAGGGGGTCTCAGCCTCCAGTCCCTCCCTTGCCAATGGGTGTGCCGCACTGCATCTCCCGGCACATCCTGGCCATGCTTTGGTGCTTCCAGTGTGGGCTCCGGATGGGTTAGCTTGGGGCACAGAGTGCTTGGAGGTGCAGGTTCTCTGTAGCTACCCAACCCCCACTGAGAACAGGGCGAGACAGCCATTTCATGGACCTCTGGAGGCTGAGCATCAAGGCCCTCCAATCAGGGGACTGCCACCTGGCGGGTTAGCGAGCAGAGCCGCTGGAGTGCGGCTGTGCTCTCGCCTGGCTCTCAAGTCCAGGCGGCGGCCGCTGCCACTCAAAAAGACAAAAGGTCTCAAACAGTCCTCTTCCTGCTGTCTCTACACTGCAGAGCTCTCCTGCGCCCTGTGTTCCGAGTGCCATCACCCAGGCCGAGGGTGATGCGAGGCACGAGGAGGCTATCACCATGATCCAGTCCGTCTTCCGGGCGCACCTAGTGCGGACCGGGCACAGGTACGGCCCCCCAGCAGGCCACCCCGATCCTGTATCTCGGGAAGCTGCGCATCCTGAGTGGCAGCCGGAGCGTCCAGGTGCAGGTCTCAGTCTGGCTCTCCTTTTGCAGAGAGAAACCATAGACTGAAAAGCAGTGGGTGGCATTCCCAAGATACAGGACCCTGGCGTGTCTCCAGAACAGGAGTCACACCTTGTGAAAAATGCCTGTCACGCCGCACAGGTGGAGCGGGCCACAAGCTCTGTTCCTCAGGAAGAGGCCTTTCTAGAATTGTGTCCTGGGAGAAGACAAGTAGAAGGGCAGGGTGCTCTGGGCCTGGGGGTAGCCCAGGCCAGTTTGCTGCCTGGACATCTCAGGCTGCCCTCTTGCCACAGGCCCCCTGCTTCTCAGTCTGCATGGCAGAGCAGGAAATGGCAGCCATACACTGCTTTTCAGGCTATGGTTTCTCTGCAAAAGGAGAGCCAGGCTGAGTCACACTGTCACAGTCCTGATTCCCAATGACCTGAGACAGGCCAGCTCAGCTCAGTACACTATCGCTGGGCACGGGCATCTCGACACAGGGGTGAGGGAAGGCGTGTGAGGCCTGCCGTCAGCATGCACCCCAAGGAGACTGACGGAACAGGTCAAGGGCACCACAGCCAGCCTCTCGGGGCCCAGCTGGCCTGTAGGCTGGCTGTGCTGGGCACATCTATGGGGCAGCCACCTCCTGCAAGCCAGGGGTCTGGCTGTAAGCCTCCAATGATGTTTGCATTCTCTGAAGTCAGACTCAGCTAGTGTCCCTTGTTTCCAGCCCCATCTGTCAAAGACGTGCTGCTGCAGCTCCTGCCAAGAAAACCTGTGCTCCAGCCACACCCAGCCAGCCCTGCTCCCCACCCTTCCTGGCAACCTGTCCTGGTAATTGCATCTCCGTTTGAATTTCTTTGCAAGGGCAGCTGACCTCTGAGGTTTACGCCAGAATTGCTGCCACAACCCAGAAGCTTAGGATGTGTAAACATGTGTCAGGGTCTCGTCCCACCTGTGAGCTCAGCAATACCCTCAGACGGGAGACACCCAGACCAAGCCTCCCTCAGCCCTGAGCTGTGGGGAGAGGTGGGAGCCAGGCAGGCCACAGGAAGCTCCTGCGTTGGTGGCAGCGTGCCTCACAGTCACCAAGGGCCACAGTCGGGGTCTGCGCAGCTTCTGTGTTTTGATTTCATTCTCAGTGCCAGCTGGAGTGAAGTGGTTTCCCTCCCTCGGGGTTAGTGCTTCTCCAGTCGGTTGGTTTTACGTAAAACTGCTTATATTTCCTTTTACTTTATGAAGGTCCAGAAACAGTGGAGAAGTCCCTGCAGTAGGCAGGGGCCTGGCACCCACAAGTGGGGCCTGCCCCAGCTCGGCCCGACCCCTGGCGTGGGGTCTCTCCAGGCCTGGTCTCCACGGGGGTCCTGGGAGGGCCCTTGGTCCTGGATCTCTGGCTCTGACACTGCTGCAGGTCCCTCCATGTGCTGTCATTAGGAAGCCTTCATTACAGCCCTGTGGCCACCACTGCACTGCTGAGGGAGAGCTTTGGGGTCTGGCACTGTCATCAGGCTAAGAAGTGTAGGTGTGAAGTCCCCTCTCTGCGTGTCATGCTTCCACGAGGGGCTTTTCTGTACCGAGCTCCCAGGAAGGTGGAGGCTGAGGACAGGAGCAGGGAGGGAATGGTGCTTCAGATCAAGGGGAAAGTATGCAAGGAAGCAGCTTTTCTGAACCAAAACAAGAGGGTGGAACAGCGGTGGGCACGGTGGCCCTGCCCATGTGAGTGTGTCCTGGTGTGTCCTCAGGTAAGGAAGACAGTGAGGGGAGCAGCGGGGAGACGGCTGAGGGGCCAGCTACGGAGGATGAAGCGCTGAGGCCATGGGGACCGCGGAGGCTAGCAGCCCTCCAGTCCTGTTCGGGTGAGTGGGGTGGCCGTGGGAAGGCCAGGAATCACAGGCGGGATGAATTGGGTGGACGGAACGCGTCACCGCCCTCCAGGGGCCGCCCCGTTGGGGGCAGTATGTGGGGAATCCTGCAGGAGCTGAGGATCTCACACTGTGTCTGACCTGGAAATCGCCATCGCATTTTAGCCACATCAGTCATTTTTTCTGGCTTTGTCAGAGCCGGCAAACTTTGATGTTCTCTCTGAAACTGTCTGTAAAGCTCCACAACGGTAGCAGCCCTGGGAGGAAAGGGCAGGTGGGTAGGTGGGCGGAGCTTGGCAGGCTGGGGCACCCGAGGCTTCCACCTGCCCCACAGACACCCATTCCCTGCCTTGCTCCCCAGCCCTGCAGCCAGAATCCTTTAGTCCTGGGGCAGGGCAACTGGTCTCCACGGGGGTCCTGGGAGGGCCCTTGGTCCTGGATCTCTGGCTCTGACACTGCTGCAGGTCCCTCCATGTGCTGTCATTAGGAAGCCTTCATTACAGCCCTGTGGCCACCACTGCACTGCTGAGGGAGAGCTTTGGGGTCTGGCACTGTCATCAGGCTTAGAAGTGTAGGTGTGAAGTCCCCTCTCTGCGTGTCATGCTTCCACGAGGGGCTTTTCTGTACCGAGCTCCCAGGAAGGTGGAGGCTGAGGACAGGAGCAGGGAGGGAATGGTGCTTCAGATCAAGGGGAAAGTATGCAAGGAAGCAGCTTTTCTGAACCAAAACAAGAGGGTGGAACAGCGGTGGGCACGGTGGCCCTGCCCATGTGAGTGTGTCCTGGTGTGTCCTCAGGTAAGGAAGACAGTGAGGGGAGCAGCGGGGAGACGGCTGAGGGGCCAGCTACGGAGGATGAAGCGCTGAGGCCATGGGGACCGCGGAGGCTAGCAGCCCTCCAGTCCTGTTCGGGTGAGTGGGGTGGCCGTGGGAAGGCCAGGAATCACAGGCGGGATGAATTGGGTGGACGGAACGCGTCACCGCCCTCCAGGGGCCGCCCCGTTGGGGGCAGTATGTGGGGAATCCTGCAGGAGCTGAGGATCTCACACTGTGTCTGACCTGGAAATCGCCATCGCATTTTAGCCACATCAGTCATTTTTTCTGGCTTTGTCAGAGCCGGCAAACTTTGATGTTCTCTCTGAAACTGTCTGTAAAGCTCCATAACGGTAGCAGCCCTGGGAGGAAAGGGCAGGTGGGTAGGTGGGCGGAGCTTGGCAGGCTGGGGCACCCGAGGCTTCCACCTGCCCCACAGACACCCATTCCCTGCCTTGCTCCCCAGCCCTGCAGCCAGAATCCTTTAGTCCTGGGGCAGGGCAGCCGGGGGGCGCCACCCACGCTGCTTGGCACCATAAGGAGCGCAGCGCCGCTTGCCATCCGGTGGGATCTGTGTGAGCGTGTGAATCAGGCCTGCTTTGCTCTGGCTGTAGAAGAGTTTTAAAGGAAAAAACAAGATGGTCTTGAATACTGATGTCTTTTAATTTCATAAAGTTCTGTTTTCATATTGAGTTTCTTGAAAGCTACCATATCTGCAGCACAGCTGAGCCATAATTTCCGGCTGTTTTTATCTCCAATGGGTGATGGGCTGCTTTTCACCACACCTTTATGAAGCTGCGGGACTGCCCCTCGCACGTCTGCGGGCACACTTAGCGGGTGGGGTCTGTAGGGTGGGGTCTGTAGGGATGAGGTCTATAAGGGGTGGGGTCTGTAGGGTGGTGTCTGTAGGGGGCTGTCCAGCACAGGCTGCAGGGTTTGGGAGCTAGAGGTCTGTGACCTCGGGGCCCCATGCAGTCCTGGCTGCAGCCGGCTTTGTCCCACCTGTTCCCTAGCCGGCGTGTGGTTCTCACCAGCACTGGCTTGCTGCCCGGGGCTTCTGTGAGGGGCCCTCTAGTCTCCTACCCAGACCTGAGCCCCCTCAGTGCCAGCAAAGTCTGGCCCAAGTGCCAAGCTGAGCTGGAGACCCCAGTGCATGTGGCTGGAGAGGAAGGTGTCTGAGTGGCCTGAGGGAGGCTAACGGGCCTCCGTCCCTTACTGCTTTGGGGGTGACCTGGCTTCCAGCAGGAACGGGGTGATGTATGAGATGACCATGGTGGTGGGCCTGAGCAGCTGGTGACCCACCCTCTCTGGTTCCTTCCAGCTGAGCCAGCACCCTTGGGGCTGCAGCCAGCCGTGCCCCCACCCACCGAGGACATCATCTCCGATGACTCCGACGAGATCATAGTCGCTCCAGCGCTGTCTTCCAAGAAAAGTGCCTCCCGGTCCTAGACCCCTGGCCGTTGCCCCTCATGTCGGTGTGGCTGGTGGGGGCCGCTAGGGTTAAGAGGACAAAGCTCATTCCAGGGGACCTAACTAAAACAGGAAAGTGATTTATCTCGTTAGGAAAAGAGCAGTACCTTCTCCACACCACCAGCTCCGTGGGTTTCTCTGGTTTGCTCGCTGGCTGGTATAAAACCCTGAACACCTGCAGGGGATCTCTGGGAAGGGCCAGTGCTCGCCTCACTGCCTCACCTCTGGCTGGTTTTCAGCACAGGGCATTGACCAGAACAGGGTCGCCAGAGCCCTGCAAAGACGTGCTGCTGAGGCCTGGGAAGGCCTGCCTTGTCGGGAGCCAGCACTGAGGTCACCCACTGCCTACCCTCGTGGACTTTTGTCTAGCCAGGTCAAGCTGGACATGCCAAGCCGTGCGTTTTGGAAGAGGCGAGATAGGCCTGCAGTGGGGGCAGGGCTCCCTCGTCCCCAGGACAGACGCTGGTGACTTCAGGGTCCAAAATGAGGGCATGTCCTGGCTCCCCGCTCCCACCATCATCGTCCCTGCTCCCTGCATCCCCAGGAGCTCCTGGGCCCAGGAAGGGTCTGTGGGAGTCTATTGTTGGGTATATGAAGTCTTTTAAAAATACCAGATTATGCACAGAACCCAAGAATGGACTAATAGTTACCAAAGGGAAAGGGACTGGGGACAATGGGTGGGAAGGGAGGGATAAGGGCGGGGAAAAAGAAAGAGGGCATTACGATCAGCATGTATAGTGCGTGGGGGACATGGGGAGGGCTGCGCAACACAGAGAAGACAAGTAGTGATTTTACAGCATCTTACTACGCGGATGGACAGTGACTGTGAAGGGGTATGTTGGGGGGACTTGGTGAAGGGGGGAACCTAGTAAACATAATATTCTCTCTGTAGTTGTAAATTAATGATACCAAAATAAAAAAAAATACCAGATTATGATCTAATCCCTTTGACACTGCAGCGGGGAAGCATATCCTGCAAGCCCAGTGGCTCTGGGGGCTCACTCCGCGGAAGAAGAACGGGAGTCGGGCAGCCCTGGTCCTGCTGTGTGCAGGCCCGGCTCCATGGCCCACACCCTGCTGGTTTGGCACCTAGGTGCGTTCAGAAGCCCAGGCTCACCCTTCCTGTGTGGGATTAGCCCTGCTGGTGTATGAGGCCCCGAGGCCTGGGTGGGCTCTGGGGCGCAGCCCCTCCAGCCTCAGATGCCTGCTGCCCTCTAGGGGTGGTGTAAGCCCGGTGCCCCGCCAGCCCTGCAGCACAGCCGCTCTTCAGGTGGAGCTCAGGGACACAAGCGCAGCCCCCAGCTCCGGCTTGCAGGCCAACGGCAGGAGGAGCTCTGTAGCTGCAGTGGGTGGCCCACCTCCCCAGGGCACCCCACCTCACACTGTTTCTCCATGTAGGCTCTGTTCATAATCCTGAGTCAGAAAAATTCCAGCCAAGGGGCCTGGCTTGTCTAGTTATTTGTTCTTTAGCCTGTGGGCTGTCACATAGATTTTCCTCCTCTTTTTACCCCCCTGGACTGATTGGTAATTTGATGGCATCTGACACTTGCTTGTTTTACCCCGGGTGCCAGGCTCAGCACATGAGGTCTGTAGGCACCTGCCCATCAGCACAGACCCCAAGGGACAGAGCCATGCAGATGCTGGCTGCTGCACCCCATGCAGAGCCACAGGCATTCCCTCAGTGCCCTCACCCAGGAGCTCCACAGGCCCTCACGGATGACAAGTCACTATCAGGGCATCCCGCCCCTGGCCTGGCGGCACTGTGGCCTGCAGGGGCCTCAAATTTTCCAAGAGTATGCCCAAGCTGTAAATGCACACATTTGCCCACCTGTGCCCCTCGGCCCCACATTGCACTCACTTAAAGGCAACAGCCCAGGAGCTGAGCTGCCTTAGTCATTGACACCCCACAGGCAGGCTGTGACTTGAGCTGGTGTCCCGTGTGCCCTTTAGGGGCAGCCTTCCTGCACTCTGACTCTTCAGCCACTGCAGGTGAGTCCCTGGGAACACAGGGCCCGGGGCTCAGGTAGGGCTCTGGGTGGGGAGCAGCTGGGAAGGGGGTGCAGAGGGGCCAGGGGCCTAGAGGCCTGTCTGCCACTGGGCCGCCTCTGTGGTGCCACCCCACAGACTGGCCCAGGCTCGTCCCTCAGGAGCCCGACCCCACACGGGGTGAGGGCAGGGCTGAGCAGTGGAGCAGTTCTCAGAGTAGCAAGACTGAAGTCGGTGGGGCCAGGGAAGGGCCACAGGCCTGCATGGGCAGCAGTGGAGAGGCTTGTGCCCACACTGCAGGACTACCCCTCAGCACTCGCCCAGCTCCAGAGCCTCCACCCGGCCCGACTGCTGCTGCTGGGCTGTGGGGATCCCAGCTCTGAAAGCCGCCCTCCCTGCCCCCTGAGGCCAGTGGGAAGGGAAGACGCACATCTCCTGGGCCCGGCCCCGCGGGCTGGGTGTGCTCAGCGCTGTGCCTGTTGACGCAGCATGGCTGGGTCTGTCTGTGAAGCAGAGTGTGTGAGCTGCCTGTCCTTCTGAGCGGAGTGGGGGGCAGTCTGTGCTGCCCCCACCAGTTTCCTCCAGAGCAGGTGCTCCAGGGGCACACTCTGGGACTCGTAGCCAGCTGACCCGCCTGGCCACCGGCCTTCGTACGATACTGTTCCTGTCAGCCATGGGAGAGACCGATCACCTTTCTGAGGGTGCTGGGCAGCCATAAATGAACCCAGCCAGTGCCACGGCTGCAGGCCTTGGTTCCTGTTCGCCCAGCTGACACGGGCTGCAGGGGCCATGTAGGGAGGAACAGGTTCTGGCAGGAAGACCAGGGGCCGGGGCCAGATGGCTGCCTGGACACTGGCAAAGGGAGGCTGGGACCAAAGCCTTAGGCAGGTGTGGGGGGTGTGACGTGGGGGCCAGCCAGGTAGGAGGTGGTAGGTTTTCAGAAGGCTCTACTGTGGGTTTCTGTACAAAGTGTGCTCCTGGAGCAAAAGGCACATGACTAGGAGATATCCCTCCAGGGAGCAGGGGCAAAGGGCCCAGAGAGGAGGACAGCCACGACACGGCAGTGCCCCCAGGCCTCCCGATGGGTGCTGCCCGTGGGACTGCCCGGCTGGCCAGGGGCAAGGAGCTCGGTGTACTCGGGGTCTTGTTCACTCACCCACCTGTGTGAGGAGGGATTCTAAGGCAGGCAGGGCTCTGATGTCTGATGGCATGCACTGGCTGCTCATCCCCTGACAAGGTGGGTGAGGACTGAGCTCCCAACCCTTCAGACCCTCCAGAAACCTTCCTGGCAAAAGCACTGTCGCATCAGCAGGTGGACTGACCTGCTGAGATCCAGCAGGGGGAGCACAGCAGAGCTTTGCTTTGTGTATAAGTAGATACTCCCTGCAGAAAGCCCCACATGCCTTCACAGTCTGAGTGAAATTTAAATTCCATTAGAACCCAGCTAAGCTGGTCAAACCCCTCCTGTGCCTTTGGAAGAGCATCTCTAGGGACCTTAGAGGGGACACACAGCTGTGGGGGGTCAGACGGCTACTCCAGGCTCCCACCTCGCCGAGGCACCCTGAGAGCCCATAAGCAGCTGGCCAGGCCAGCATCCCAGAAAGCGAGGCAAGTTCTCGTGCAAGTTGAAGCGTGAAGTATTGGCCTTTGTAAATGAAAGTTGACTCGCAGGGCATTTGTCTTGATTACCCAATAAATCTGTCATCTTAATCACCTCACTCAGGCCACCCACGCTTGCGCTGATCTTCAGGAGCCCTGTGTGGGGCTCCGGCCCTGGACTTTGATGGCCGCCCAGGCTGGGAGTCAGAGCCAGCTGAGGAATGGTCCCGCCGCCCGTTGCCTGCAGTTGTCCATCAGCACTCCTGTCTCCGAGTTGTTCTTCCTTGTTGCCGAGGACTGGAGCATCAGGAAACAAAAATAGGGGAGCAGGAGTATTTCCTCAAATTCTGTTTTTGTTGAGGAGCAGGGAAGGAATAATTTACTCAGAAATCAAACACAGACACCAATGACAAAAAAAGTTGATTTTGGGGGAGATATTGTTTCCCAGTGTTTTGTCGCACAGGACAAGGTGCCTCTCTGGGTGCACATGCGGCTGCTCCCCAGGCCCTTCAGTCCTGGGCAGGCTGCATCTGAAGCTCCACCAGGGGCTCACGGGCTCCAGCATTAGCAAGGCCCATCTTTGCACCCGTCACCATGTGTCTCATTGGCAGACGGTCTATTTGGAAGGCTTCATGCTTTGCAGAGGAGCTGGTCAGACTTAAGGAGTCTGTGCCAATGGAGAGCTGGGTGCATCAGACCGTTGCCCCAGCTGCAAGCCTGCCGCTACATGTTCTCCCATGGGGCAGGGGTCCAGGAGCAGAGAGGCAGCTTCTGGGGGTCTCAGCTAGAGCTGAGCTGGTGAGGGGAGAATGGAGAGGGGTCAACCTCAGGCCTCTACCTAGAAAAAGGAAAAAAGCAGAAGGTGTAGATAAATATGTAGATATTTACATGTGTGTGCATGTAGATACGCAATATGCATACATTAGATACATAAATACGTGTATTTTAGGTGCATAAATATGCATGCATTAGATACATGGGTGTGCATGCATGTAGGTACATAAATGTGCATACATTGTATACGTCCTAAGTGTGAATATATATAGATACATAAATGTGCACACAGATACACATTTGCACAGACATTGATCTCAGGTGCTCTAGGGAATTCTCTCAGTTTAAAAGTAGGGCAAGTTTAAAATCCAAGGAACTTCCTTAAAGACTGGTTAACAGTCACCTCAGGGCTTTACTAGGATATCTTTAAATCTGAACTTCCACAAAAGTTGCCAGGGAATAAGAAAAAGTCAGAATCCAAAGCTCTGGCTCCTTTCAGCACTGCCGTCAGGGTGGGAACAGGCATGAGGAAGAGGAACAGGCCGGGGCTCCAGCTAAGGGGTTCAGCTGGCACCTTCCGTTAACATCCTGGGGGCCCAGCGTGCATCATAGAGGGGTGGCCCATCAGACAGTGGCTGCCTGAGGAGTCTAAGGGAGTCTCCATGGAGCCCTGGGCTTTCTGAATGGGGAGAAGGATGCCCCTGAGCTATGTGTTAATTAGGCCTCAGAACAGCCTGGATTCAAAGGAGAGATTGCAACGTGTGCCAAGGCTCCTGGGCTGCCATTCAGGCAGCGCAGCCTGGGCACTTTCTTCCTCCCAGTGCCCCCTTCCCAGCAGCTCTAAAGGAATGAAAGCCAGGAAGAGGGTGGGGAGGTAGGGACTGTCCCTCCAAAGCTGCTGTCCCTGCTGGCAGCGCCTCTCCACTGCCACCCTACTCAGCTGCCTCCCCCACTGGCTCTGGCTCCTGGCTCCTGGGCACTGGACTTGGCCCCTCACATGCCTCCTCCCAGCCTGTTCCAGCCTTTCGGCCCACCTGTTAGATGTGGGCTCCCAGGGCTCTGTTCCCAAGGCCCAGACTCACTAATATCACGTAGACTTCTGCACATACATCTCAGATGCCTCAAACTCAGCTTGGACCAGCTTCGATTTACCTTCAACCCCTCCTCTGCCACCCAGCCCCCTGCCAAACGGTCCCATCTCAGCAACATCTGTCTCAGCTCTGTCTCAGCTCTTCTGCCTGAGCCAGAAGCCTGGGCTTTGTCCCCATCTCGCTCCAGCCTCCTCACCACCCACAGTGAGTCACCAGG